ATGATGCATACAATGGACTCCGGACTAGGTGCGTTCCTCCAAGTCTTCCTACCAATATGACCGAGTTGCGGAAACAAGGTCAAACAACTTCTATACAGCGAAAAGAGACTGCGACCACACAAAAGGCTACACCATCTTGGTCTTTATACCTTCAATTATTACTATGGCCGAGGAGACAGGGCTAGGTAGGTTCCACAAGGTCTCTCTGACGCTCCGATCGAGTTGCGAAAACGAGGTCGATCCAACATTATACGGCTAAAGGAAATTATGACCAAACCGAAGTCCACGCCATTTTGGTATTCATATCTACGACGTAATATGGCTAGTCTAACCGTTTGTGTGTCGGGTATTAGGGTCAGTTTGCAATCATATGCAGTCATTAGGGGACTGGAAGGTAATATGGGTCCTGTTAATAAAGGCTAGAATGGATAAAAACCAGATTTCTTTGAAGCTGAAGCCTATGTCGATCGTTGCCATTCTTAAAGGTAAGTAGTCAACTGTGATTTGATCTCATATGGTATCAAAGTTGACGGACCGCATCCCTCTCCTCCCCAGCAAATAAACAAGATCTTGTTGAGATGCAGATCTGAGCTTGGCGTAGCAACTGGCGTCCGAATCGGAGGTGGCATGTCTTCCCGGATCCGTGAAGATGCCCTTGTAGGGCAGACTAGGGTGGACACCTGTCAGGCCTGTCAAGGATCTGTCGCAAGAGACGAACACAGCAGACGGTTAACTAGTTCCACCGGCCTTGCTTGGCAACGGTCGCCGAGGTGCTCGGCATGGCCAGCTGAGTCTGGCGTTTGTGAACGTCCAAGACACGAGGAGATGCAAATACTTTTGGAGCCCGGAGTTGAAATGTTAACCGGAAGACAAGCGCAGACTTCCAAACGATGGATATGGCCCTCCGATTGTTCTCTAACTTATTTTGAGTGGAAGCATCAAGCCATGAACCTGACTATGAGGGCCCGGATCGTTGCTGAGCTGAGCTGTTACGGGATTCGATATCGGCTCCAGCCACAGTGAAATGAGGTTGCCTAACCACACTAAAGTTCCCCTAAGACGTGTGGGTTGAAAGAGGCCAACTTTGCCCTGAATGTCATGCTTGTCGTGCAGGTCATGAAGCACATGTTTCGAGTCCCATCAAGGTTGCTGAGAACGGCCCTATCGGACGCTCTATCATAAATTGGCATGGCTGGTAACACCATACAACAAATGGTGCGTCTTGCCAATAGTAAACAAGGTTCCGGAGTCAGCTGGCACAAAAGACGACATCACTTTACTCCACCCTAACTGCGTATTCCCTCCACCTTGTATGTGTGTCCGTACGTGCGTGTGTGTGCACCAAGGTGCGTCGATCCCGAGTTGCCTCAGCGACAAGAACAGGTGGTGAAGAGTTGGTAAACTAAGAGCTTAAGTCGGCCAGACCGACTATACTACCAAGCAGGCACGACTGTGAAGTTAAGCAGTCAGTGGTGAGGGTGCATTAAGATGGTGGCAAACGGTTGGGTTCTGAATTAAAAACATAAGTTTAGTTCTTCACTTAATAGCTATCAGTAACTTCAAACCTAGCCCATCCATGCGTGTGTGTGTGTGTGTGTGTGTGTTTATATATCGACCAACTCAGATGGCTAGCAACTGGAGGGTTCGGTCATCCAGACATTTAACCGGGGATGCATTTTACCAGCCTTCATGCACCCTTATCTGATCCACCCTGCCCGGGGCTGGACGAAGATTCTTCACTTCGAGGGAGACGAAGATGGTAGATGGTCGATTGGCCAGATGGTGGTCCGAGTGGGAAAATCAGGTCCATTCGGGCCAACTACCACTTTTTTCAGCAGCCAGGTTGATTAAGCAAATCCAAATAAACTTTCACGAGAATTAGATCATTTACGGATAATTACAAGGGCTACTCATCACGCATAAATAGACTGGTCCCGAGAACAGGGCTACAAAAACAGCCATCAAAGGGGGGTTGAGAAAGGCGAAAATTCAGGGAAATGAAATTTAATATGCAAGAGGCCGATTAGTTGGGTGCTGAGGGAATAGAGAGTAAACAATATAAATGGGACAATGAAAGCGTCTACTGACAAACAAGTGGCGAAGCTAGGCAGTTAGATAACACAAATACTGGATTTAGTGTAATCTCTTACTAAATTCATCATGTACCTTTTATTTCGTCTGTAAAGGTGAGCGGAGGAAATTAGTAAAAAGCATAATGTGTCTAGAAAAGCAAGTATGCTTGGATGCTGGTTTCTAGGACGATAGTCATCGTGGGATAGAGCCAAGATCAGTGCAGATTTCAGATTTATATTAAATCAATCTTGGTAGAAAAAAGCAGGCCTTACAAACCGGACAGGGTCTCTTCTTACTTTATATTCCGAAATAAGTTGAACTTCCAAAGGGAAGGGGGAGGGGGTAGCAAAAACCAACATAATTTACACAAATCCATATTAAAAAATGAATACTAATGTCTGCTTAATAGAAAATGATGGGTAATCTTAATTGAATTTGATTTTAAAATGTATCATCAAGATATTCGTAGTTCAATCTCATCAGCTGACTAATTCGGATCCTTGTTTGACTGCACTAGAATCTAAAGGATGGGACAGTCGACGATTTAGCCTCCTTTGGTTCCACTGAAAATGTGCTCAGCATAACTGAATATCAGTTGGTGACTAACTGAACCTGAGTGAGGAGACGAATCTGCTTAGATATACCCAACATTTATAGTCTACCAGACGAACCTACGGAACCAACTATCATGGTTTCTTATAATTGGAACAGACTAGTAAGTGACTGCTGGAGCATCAAAGATTCAATGATACTTGAAATCAACAACAAGTCCATTGCTACGAATGTGTAAAAGTGTAGGTCTGCCCAGCCAGCTTGGTGAGACTCATGAGAGGAATCGGGCATCAAAAATAGGAGAAGATTAGAGCTAGAATGAACTAGACTGGCCAGATCGCATAAATAGATTATTTTGAAGCATTTTTGATGGGAGTCGGTTTCGAGACTATGAGTAACTCTTGCCTAATAAATTAATCAGCTTAGGTCGTTTTATATGATTTAAGGACTGATGGTTGAGCTTTCACATGAGTCATTCTGACGATGCTACTCAATTTCACTTAGCTCTGCCTCTAAAAGCTTACCTCAG